TGGCCTTGAACATGGCCCTCCCATGTACTTCACCCTCAGGGCTCCTATGCCCAGCAGTAGCTATAGTATGAGATCTAATAAATTATTATTGCAAACATGGATATGTTTGGTGGATCATTATTTCTCTAGCACTGTCCCATTTCCAGAGCATGTCTATCTTTCCAGACTAGATTACATGGCCTGTGATACAATAGATTAGAAAAAGTCTCTAGTCAAACGATATGTAATGAGGTAGATTAGATGATCTGAGGCTCAGTTCTAGGTAGTTGTTTGAATAAGTCTCACATCCTATATCCCTTCCGGTGTCCTTGTCTTCCCTCTCACTCTCTACTACAAATTACAAGGAGCTTGCTCCTAAGGGTTCTTCAGTTGGCTAAACTTGTCTCCTTTAGGCAGTCCACATTTGCCCTCTGGTGGCCAGATTATGCTACCACATTCCACTTGAAAGATGGCCTTAAGTACTGTAAACAGTTAACAGGTCTATAATCTTGGAATTAAATTATTTGAGCCTGTTTATGATTTTTTGTATTATGATTTGCTAGAAATATTAAACAAAACTGTTTGACACATGATAAGAAAGCAATAAACATGAGTTTTCTTCCTGTTGAACAAAAGGACCCTTCTTAGTTAACAAAGAAAACTCTTGCAGTTATCATCTGGAACACTGAAACCACAAGATCTATTAATGGAAGAAAGGGTTGGTAAGGCAGGTGTTTGACTGTAAATGGTACTGGCTAAGTTCCAAGAAAGGGATAGACAGTAATGAGGACAGCAGTTAAAGAACGCTTAGTCTGTGCTAGGCACATCTTTTAATCCTCCTGAGAACACATTGAGGTTCCTAGTCGTGTATTAACCTATGGAGAGTATTACTCAACTGGGGCAAAAATGTTGCTCATGTGGCACAATTCATAAAGTATGAACCAGCCTAGATGCCTATCAACATATGAATGGATAAAGAAAATGTGGCATATATGTACACAGTGGATAACACTCAGGAGACTGAGGCAGGAGGATCATTTTGAGTTTGAGGCCAGCCTCGTCTACAAAGTGAGTTCAAGACCAGCCTGAAGAACTGTATAGTGAGACCTTGTCTCAAAACAAACAAACAAACTAAAAAGGCATAAAAGTAGAAGAGGAACTATTACTATGTAAGAGGAAAGGAGTAAGGGTAGGGAAGAAGAGGTTTAAAAAAAGGCAATATAGGAATGGATTCTGTCAAACTATGTTATATACAGGCTAAGCATGGT